GGATCGTCAAAATAATTATGTTTGTGACATATTTGACCTTTGGAAATTGAGCACATGCTGATGTTTACTGAAAGAGTGTGACTTTCAAAAGTCGAAAACATCTCGGTTTTGCCCACTTGAATCCACGTGAACATGTCGAGAAAGGAAAACGTTCATGACTTTTCTAGCCACAAAATCTCAGAGGTGTCCACGGTAATAACTTGGATGGATGGATGAACTGTGAAACATGCACTTAGACTGAAGACCGCCGCATACTTCCTGTTTGTCAATGTTGCTTTGTTCTCCTCTGGTCAAAATGTGGTGGTGAGCAAGCCTCAAATCTCTGTACTTACAAACGTTGGCATTATGTAGCAGGATTCCATCCAAATGAGCTGCTTTATGGACTTGGTTCTTGACAGGAAGACCTCAGGCTCTATTAAAGAAAAGCTGCATCTATCCATTCTCTGTACCATCTATCCTCAACTTTCAGAAACATCTTATCCAATATGAAGTTTGTTTTTTGTGCTTCTTTTGAAGCATACTCTAGGCTATGCCATCATTTGAGTTTTGCTCAAACATGATGAAAAAAATTGAACAGTGTCATCGGATTTAAACCGCCGCGCTACATCGATTAAATAAATGGAGTACAACATCCACACACTTTGTTTCATTGTCAAACAGCCAAAATAGCAAAAGATAATGTAAGATACCACTGTGCCTTTCTTTCTATCACATTTGTCATTTTTACAGGGAGGAAAAACCGTTCCGGAAAATGTGCAGACCATGCACAATTCTTTGTTCACATTTGTAAATTGTTGGTGAGTGGTTCCTCTCATGTTCCATAAAAGCAAGCCTTGAAGGAGATAAGGAAGCAAAGGGAAAGTAATGCTGTTGTGCCACCATGTGGACAAAAGTCTCCATCAGCAGTGTCGTGTTATGGTTCTGTTTAGGTCACGTGATCTAAAGAGAACCAGCACAGACACAGTCTTACGTTTGAGTCTACCGTCGACCAGTTGTGATCAAGTGTGCGCAGTTTTATTGATAACAGTCCTTAATCTAGGACGTAATGATACATTTTTATCACAGCCTATGACATTTTAATGCTACAGTGCATCTGGAAAGTATTAACAGCGTTTCACTTTGTATACACATTTTGTTATAGCCTCAAAAAAAAAAAGGTTTGAAGTCGTTTTCAGCCCTCAAAATTCTGCACACAACACCTCATAATGAGAACATCATTTTTAGATATTATCGATCTTCAATTTTATTGAAAAAATAAAACAAAACAAAAGGGACATCGCAATTTTGTTCAAAAACACTCACGGCCTTTCCACAATAGAGTACTTTGTGGATGAAAATTTTTTTTGAAAATTCTCTTGTCTGCGTCGACGTTTGTGGAATCCAATTCTGTCCGAGGCTTTACGGACACATGTGATTCCTTAGTTGTTTTAATTTAGAATAAATTTTCTGAAATGAAAAATAAAAACACTTTTTTTCCCCACATTGTCACTCAAGTGACAATGTGGAACACTTCACGTGTTGAGTGCAGAACTTTGAGGGAAGAAATGCATTTATTTCATTTAGGAATAAGGCTATATAACACAACAAAATGTGGAAAAAAGTGAAATTGCTACGAATACTTTCCGGATGCACTTTATATACATACAGCACAGTATAGTGGTGGGCAGCAGTAGCTCATCTGGAAGGACATTATAAATATAAGGTCCAGCACCCCTTGCGACCCTTGTGAGGATAAAGCGGATCGGAGAATGAATGAATTCATGAATGAATATTTTACTGGTCTATCTAATTCACACTTGCCTTGCCATGCAGCACACAAGCAGATTTTTCAAGCACATCATTGCATCTACTCAGTATGCTCACTAATTGGACTGGAGTCTAATTTTCATTGGTAGATAATTAATGAGACACTGGAGGAAATAATTCTGGTGGGGCTTTGCTGAGCCACGACTCGAGAGACTGCGGTTTATCTTGAGCCCGCACAGGAAGGGGAAAGGAAAGGAGGAGACTTAATCAATGTCCCTGCTTTTGCTCATTAACCAAGGACCTTGGCCCGGTCAACTTCTAAGGAGATGCCCTTGGGGGAGCCTGAGTTTTGCATTGAGGATCGAAGTGCCCATATGCTATTTTTTCATATTCTGAACTCCTGAACTGAATATCAAGTTAACACGAGGGCTCCATTTTGGTAGACAGCACTCGGCGTAAAAACCGGCACATCTTGATTTTCAGACACTGTCAAGAACGATCAAGGTGGACCACTTCACGGCTGTGATGGCCCTGACCACCGTTTGCGTCACGCACAAGTGGAGGTCTTCTTACACTTCCTTATGAACGTACTTTGCTTGCGTCGTTCTCCCGCATCGCCTCTCCTGCATGTGTTATTGGTTTACCATGATGCCTAATTATTTACAGTCAAGTGAACATAATCATGCACACACACACGCACACACACACACACACACACACACACACACACACACACACACACACACACACACACATTTTAGCCTATGACATATGGCATTACCGTACTGAATAACTTGTGGTTTGCGATCCAATAAAGGGCTCAGTTTTATAATCTCTCCGGCTGTATTTTGTTGACTGGTCCGCCAGTTAAACGCCAACAGAACACAGTCAATTCAAGCAGGATTATGGCTTTTGTTGTTTGGATTATATGAATCTAATTACCTTGCGCCGGGCTTTACTGCTTCTGTGGTTTATCAGCTTGATTTTCTATACGCTGTCACTGAACGCCTGGCCAATTGCAAGTTTCTTATGAAAACAGCAGATGAAAGTGAAAGTGAATTTTTTGTAGGAGATGGAACTGAATTTGCTCTGTAATTAAACTGTTAACGGAAGATCATAAGTTCCTGTAAATGCATTGGTCCACTTGTGATCGGGACATAACAATAAATAACATTACTGTACATTTTTGTATTACACAAATATGACTTCAAAATTTGCAGAGATCGTTGGATGATTTTGAGTCCACCTGTTGTTATTTCAATACAGTGTATCAATATATATTTTAAATGACTTCCGTCCGTATAAAGGCCTACGGTCAGTAAACAAGCACCCACAATCAACAACTCCAGACAAATCGTGTCCCGTTTTTCATTCTTTTGTTTTTATGTTTGAAACAAGCAAGTGCCAAAAGGTTAACACACTGCATTTGTCATCGGATTTTGTGTTAATCACTTCTCTATTCCCCCAAAATAACATTTTTAACAAGTTTCTCAAACTACCCGGCATGCTGGAAGACTGGAAATGAAACATCTTTCTTTCCCAGCATGTTGGCGATCAGAGCTTTTGGAGGATGAAAAGAAAAGATCAATTCTTCGACTGAGATGTGGCTTTTCCTCATTTAGTAGTCAGAGCTTTGACTCGAGTCCTCATTAGTGTGCTCATGCACACGCTGCATTCACGCCGTCACGCAAAGACATCAGACACATACACGACATGAAAAGCGTCCCGGAATCAGCTGCAGTTGCAAACTGACACAAGTGATTTAAACCAGTCATTCGTCTGCCATTTCCAATGTGGCCTAATTACCGGTACTGACATTCGCAACCTCTTTCTGTGGTGCTCGAAGGGATGTTTTGTTCTCAACCAACATTTCATAACTAGGAGCAAGAACACTGACTCAGTAAGTTTGCACACTTTCTCGGGTCATTATACATTTCTGGCTTTTAACTAAATGTCAGCTGTTACGTCCGGCACAAAGAGCAATTTTTCAATTGCATGTGTTTGTTTTTGATGCGACAGTGCTCTTGGGCTAGATCACAGTTGTTTACGCCACCGCTCTGTCCTGGGTTAAGTCGTTTGTTTAAATCTGTGGGTTAATATTCAAGCGCAGACCTGATAAGAATTGATTCACATTCAGTCAATTGTCCATTTGGGAGAATTAGAATTTAACTTATACAGCTAACGAAAACCATCACCATATTACATCTGGGTAATGGTGAAAAAAATGACTCTGCAACAGTTACAGTATTTATATCGTCTAACATTCACAAAAGCTAGCTGAATTGTAAATAAAACGCTATTTGCAATAAATTGTCATCATACAGCTGCCCACAGACGATAGCACTTCAGCATAGGCATGCATCATATGTGTGTGTGCATGTGTATGTGTGTGTGTGGGTGTTGATGATGCTGTTGTCATACATGGCTAATCAGGTGAAACAATGGAGGCCTGGAGCAGAGAGTATATGAATAGAATCTGGTCTTGGATGGTATGTTTAAAAAAGTATGCCGCATAGGGTTCGATTATGGAGTTTGCATGTTCTCACCGTGCTTGCGTGGGTTTCCTCCGGGTACTCCGGTTTCCTCCCACATTCCAAAAACATGCGTGACAGGTTGACGGAACACTCTAAAATGTCTCGAGGTGTGAGTGAGAGCACGGATGTTTTTTTTTCGTCACTGTGTTCCCTGCGATTGGCTGGCAACTGGTTCAGGGTGTCCACCGCCTACTGCCCAAAGACGGCTGGGATAAGCTCGAGTACGCCCCGCGACCCTTATGAGGATAAGCGGATCAGAAAATGGATGGATGGATGGAAAACTTTCCTTTTAGAAATCCGAGCCATCAGTGGGCAGGTATTGAGAGACATACAACACAGCCAGCTTTCTTAACCGGCTGGATTGATTGTTACTGAAACGGGTGCACGTGGGCACTTTATTATGTCCTCTGACTGTACACTAGGTGGCAATGATGCTATAAAAATACTGTTGAGATGAAATAGGCTGTTCAGAAAATACAGTGTTTGGCTACACTCTGGCCTTGTTATTTTTGCCTTGAAGACTTTATGCGTATTTTGAGAAATGTTTTACTTTCAGGGGCTTGTTTGCAACGTGAAGGACACAGCAGTTAAATTTGGCTAAGATGCAAACGCAAAACTTGTCTTTGCTGACAAGGTATAGGAAAAATAGGTTCACTGGTTTTCCCCACGGGGAGTATTTGTCGCATCGTAAGCGCCAAAAGAACACACCAGAAGTCCAAGTTGGTTGTCATTGAATATTTTATTTGCAAATGAAAGAGTAATAACTCATAAGTCGTAAAAATATACATTTTTAAAATTGTGATATTTACATGGATTGTTTTGTCATCAATCAAACAAAGAATTCAGCACGGTGACTCAAAACCGAACAACTGCAGAAAAGAAACGGATGATCGCCAAAGGAAACAAAAGTGTCTTGCATGTACCCTTAAGTACCGCTGGAGCAAGCGTGTCTGCTCCTGACGCTTTTGCTATGTCGTCAAGGAGAAACAGCCCACCGCACACATCCCACACAGACCCATGATGAGTGTAGCACACACAAAAGTGCAAAGTACATGGATGCAAATGAAAAAGATGAAAATAAGACCAAAAAAATAAAGCTTCGTAAATTTTATATTTACAATTGTAGATTTTTTTTTTCAATTCCTTACCCAAATACAGGTATGATACATCAAAGCAAAGCATTCTCATTCCTTTGCTCAGTTTCGTATGACATGCAGGTCCCTTCACATCCCTTTTCCAGGGTGACTTCAGCACCGTCCGTCATTTTGGGGGAAAACGCGTCACATTCCGAGGCCCAAATGTCTGAGCATCATTTCGCTCTGCCCTCAAGTCGGAAATAAAACAAACATTAAAAACGTGGTTATCACACGACACAGGTTAACCTAACACTTGAGTGTTGATGATGAGACAATACACATACAGTGTCGATGAAATACTGTTCTAAAAGACGATACACTCTGTGTGTGTGGTCTTGATTCCATGACTGAGATTGTGAAAATCTGTTGAAAGAAAGCGCCGCACATGAGAGGATGAAATCGGGGATCTGCCACCTGAGTCAAAGCGCTTGGAGGAGTTTGAACGGCTGGAAGGCTCGCATCCTTTCTTCCTCCTCCGCCGTTGCCGCTGCTATTGTTTCATCGATGGCGGAGGGGAATTTCAATGTCGAGAGCTTTGGCTCGATATCAATCGTGTTTGGAGCTCCTCCTGATTCCCAGCGCTACAGTGCTCTGACAGAATCTTATGACAAGCAACGGCTTGGAGAATCCGCCACTGTTGAAATGCAACAGATGTCTCTGCTAGTGCCTGTGTGTTGCTGTTACTGTGGCTATGTTTATCTGCGTCACTACTTCTATTAGTTCATACTAATAGTGCCCAACATCCAATCCATCGAGCTGACTCTGAAGGAACAGAAATGTGTGTGAGCACCTGCGTGCTTGTGGAAATGCAGCTACAGAGACAAAAATATCTGGACACACACAGAAAGCTACAGAAAAGCTGGAGCAGTCAGAACCGCATCCAGTCTTCTGGTAAAGGCTTTACAACTTTACACTAGATCCATATTATGTCGAAGAATTTATCGAGGTGTTCATTCGTCCAGACCAGGGACCTTTTTTTTGATCACTGGGCTTTCCTCAAAGTGTTCCCACAGAGGTGGAGGCATCGAATTGTATGTTCAAGAATCGTAAATCTGCATTCCAGAAAACTGGGAAATTCTGACCTCAAGTGTATTGGGACACTGCTGGAATTCCACTCAAGTAATCTGATTCCAATCCCGTTCCAATTCCCTTGGACTATATTAGTCTGTCATGTACCTGTCGGATTTTTTTTTTTTTGTTGTTGTTTATTTTCCATTGGAATATCCTTTGCAGTCTGACCTTCGGGGTTTCAAATAGGCTATTTCCGACTTCCCAGCAACTTGGAAGGCATCTTCAGAATTCCACGAATCTACTTTGTAAGAAGCGTAGCCCAACCTTACAGTTTAATCGCTCAAGAGGTAGGCTCCGTCCCAAGACTTTTGTCCACATGCATAACTACTTAATATAGTATTTGCATGTACATAGAATATTATTGTGTGTGCGCACCCCGCGGCCAAGTGTAAAAGCATGAAGCCCACTGATGAATTATGTACACACTTGTCTCAACACACCCCTCCCCCACAAGCGTAAATATGGCTGCCGCTTGGAAGGCAAGCTTCAATTGACTTCAGTCCAAATGAAAATACTGACAGTCTGCATTCAGGTGATCGTAAATTAACGGCTACTTTGCCCGTCTCGATCCCCTCTCGTTCGCCGAATGGCGAACTTTAGAGTGTGTGTGGGCGTGGCCCGAGGGCTTAGACTGAAATAACATGCACGCACCCTCACCGTCCACACTAACACTCATATTCACATGCACACATACACACGCAAGCTTCCCTGGTCGGATACGAACTGCTGTCTGTAGTTTAATAGAAAAGGCATCTTTCCGCCTCCCTTGACAGGCGAGTCAGAAGGGAAGTCCCTCACGTGAAGTCAAAGTACATGTTTGGTTCCCCCACGGATCTCAAGAATTTGAATATCAATTTCCAACTTCACTTCTGTTTGACCAGGAACATCCAAAATAAGGCCAACTCTCATGACCGCCACCGAAGCTTAACAAGTAACAAATCACTTGTTAAGTGAAACCTTCAAAGTGGAATGACGCAACAATTTTCCATGATCAAAAGCAGGTACTACACTGAATTTCTTGTATTGTGCCTCATAAACACACGTGGTAATATTAGATTGTCTTAATCTTGGAGGGTGCAGTACGATGCTCCACAGTCTAAACCTGTTGTAGCGGTGCATGTTTTTACTGACTTGACTTCAGTTTTCCCTTGGATGTAATTTGAAAAGTGTGTGTGTGTGTGTGTGTGTGTGTGTGTGTGTGTGTGTGTGTGCATGGAACATACACATCCCAGTTGGGAATATGTGTGAGCACCACCACCCGCCTCTTGGCAATTACTGGCAATGGTTGCTGTTCCGTGAAAAATCTGTACTACCATGAAGGCCCGAACTCTGGCGGAAAAAAAACAAAACAAAAAAAACGCTGGGGACCACTGATTTAGAACACAAAACAACATGTTTTGAATTCACCTTTGGGTTTTCCGTTTGACTTTTACCTGCAGAGGAAGCAAATCTCCCATCATGTACCCTAATTTATCAAAGCAAATGACATCATGTGCATATATCTATCCGTATGTACAATACAAAACAATACTGATTACATCATGTACAGTACATTGCCCATGGCATGATATTGCTTTCTCAATAATCGATACTTTGAACTGCTCTGAAGTGCCCCATTTTGGAAAGCCTCATTTTTTTTTTTCCTCCCCCGGGGAGACTTATTGAAGTAGCATCGATATTTATCGCGAAAGACCTTCTGAGTCGGTGTGGTGAAGATAAGGACAAAGAAAGAAAGTGTGAAAAGGAATAAGGGATTGCAAAGGCACACTGATAGAAAATCTACTTGCTCTATTTTAAGATACGTTCAATCAAACTGCACCGGGTCTGTGACGATGTGACAAAAGGCGCATTGGCTGATACCAAAGCGGACCAAGAACACACCAGAGCCCGCTGAGTCAGCCAGACAGCCATTGACTGCCACCCCATTATTATGGATCCATTGAGAGTCCTGACACTTATTTCGATGCATTTTCTTTTACAACTGAAATGAGTCTTCCCACTCCTTTTATTCGGCCTAATTGACCCTTCTCACGATGATGTCTAAAAGCTTCGGCCTTGTCTCTTCTTTGGGTTATCTTCACTAATTCACCACATTATATAATGAGACAAGTAAGGTGCGGACAGACTGAGGGAAGCAGACAAGAGCGGAGGCTGCAAGAAGCTGACAGAGGCAAACGAGAGGACTGGTTTGCTAATGAGCCGAACAACAGAGTGGCATCTCTCTTCCTGGCATTGCGTCTGATGCTTCTCCGAAAAGTAGCTCTTTGAACATGAAAAAAAACCCAACAACTGCTGAGTACCGTAATTTTTTTTTCGTAAACATTTATCTTGGGGGGATTACGTAGTCTCGAGTGCTGAAGCTCACAATGTCTCGTCAAGACCGTCTTTTTCTTGATTTAATGAGTCGTACGTGTTGTTTATTACGTACACCAACCATACGAAGCAACGCGCTCGGTTGCTGTGGTTCTCCTGCCTGGTCTGCCTCTCATAACATCTCCCAACTTCTCAGATGGTGCGTTTTCGTGCTTTCAGCAATGCGTCTGTGACTTAGGATCGAATCATTTCTGTGAAACGGTGCCGTCATACTGCACGATGTGACTACGATCGTAAATAATAGAACACTTTAAAGCTCACTTCAGCTTTGTTATTCATTAATTTTATGTCGCAGTACAAGACTGAAAACAGGTAATTTTGGTTTTTTTTTCTCCTTCTCCTCTTGGTCAGGTTTAGATCAGGGGATGCCATTAATATTTGTCAACAGTGGACTTGAGGGTCTTTTTGTGATTAAGTGCTGTATAAATACATCGGACTTGACTCAACTCAAGTGAATATCACACCAGGAAGAGAGAACACAAACAACTCCACTTCGGGATACGTCTATGAGCTGATTAATTCAGTACCTCTCTGGGAGCGAAAACAATGTCATCGGTCCTCATCATCCATCACACATTCATGGTGACACATTTTGGTTTCATTTCTTAAATGCAGCATGTGTACAAACAAAGAAAAAAACAATACGTCTCATTAGGGATTGGTGGCAAATACTGTATTATACTTGACTTCAGCTATTGATGCTTATACGGAAAGCATGGTCCATCTATAGGCCGAGTATATGTAGTTAATAGACGTTAAGGTATTCAGTACCAGAAAAGAGGTGAATACTCCACTGTTAGTGCGATGTGAAGTTTGCCCTGCTGGTGGTAAAGCAGATGGGCTGTTCAGTCAGATGAGGGAGTCTAAGTAGCTTCGTTGTGGGTTTCTCATGAGAGAGGTTGATGTTGAACACACAATTACACACACACACACACACACACACACACACACACACTGAAATACTGCGTCTGTCCGCACGAATGGGCCCAATTGGGTCACCCCACGGGTGGCAAATGGGGTCTGTGGTTTTGGATCTGATGCTGGAAGAAGATGACATCATAATCATCCTCCTGCTGGATAAGAAAATATCTGCAGTCTCCATTTCTGTACATCCCGTATTGGGAGGGGGCTACTTCAACTTTCACCAAGTTTTGAATGCTTCACCCTATGTTCCATTACATGCCTAAAATTTAGATTAGATATATACTCAACAAGGGAGGGGGGGGGGGCTTTAAGCTTTCCGCTCACAGTGCTTCCTTCCTTGAGTCATAAGACACAAACAGTGCCTTTTCTCTGATCTTTTTGTGTGTGTTTTTTTTGTAATTCAGTAGGGGGCAAGCATTTCATATTTTCCCTTTTAAGTATGCATTCATTAGAAGTACTTGTGGACTTATAGTATTGAATTTTTAATTACATCCTTTTAACTAGTTGCATTTCTTTGTTTATGGAGGAGTCTTAGCTTTTGGGAAGTGGGTGCAAGGTTGTGGGGTATGGATGGGAGTCTGGACAGGGGTTAACTTTCAGTCCTACACAGTTTGAAAGGCCTTGGTCTGGGCGGGGACCATCAGGGTCGGGGGTGTTGGCCCAGACATATTCCTGGAGTTGAATTTGGGAGTGATGGGGGGCTCGGGGGTCTTGGACGGCACCACTGTGGTGTAAGCCGGAGGGGACTGGGGAAAGCCCAGAGGTTGTCCATTTTCCTTCAGCGCTGCAACTGCAGGTGGGCGGGGGCGGTGCCCGCGTTGGGCGCTGTTGTGCACCATCGACTGGGTCGACGAGGCACCTGAGCGTGAGCTGCCAGAGCGGGACGAAGACAGGGAATTGGGCTTCACCAGCTTTGCCTTGGGAGCCTCGGCATCCTCTCTGGACAAACACATGAAAAATATTTACTGAGGTCAAAATGTACAGTATTTCACAAATGCGAGTCCACCGACTCACAGCTTTGTAAATATTTTGTCATGGGTCAACACTGAAGAAAAAACACTTTGCTGCATTATAAAGCAAAAAGTAGTCCGCGTAGAGTTCGTGTAACAGTGTGAATTTACTGTCCTCCTCAAAATGCTACACGCACACACATTTACATTGAAACCATTGGTAACAAAAGTGAGGACAACCTAAAATAAAAAAAAAAACTGAGACCCATTAACCATTTCCTACCCCAATGTCATGTGACTTATTAGAAAGTCACAAATATGAATGGTATGTAGGAGTGTTAAATTTGGCGTTATCATTCTCACACTCCCTCAAACGGGTCATGGGAAATTCAAAATGGCATCTCTACAAAACATTCTGGGGATCTGAAAAAAAAGTTTTGCTTGACTGGTTAACATGGGGTCCCGAATTCCAGTCCTCGAGAGTCCCTATTCAGTCTGTTTTTGATATCTTCCTCCTCTAACACACCTGGTTCAAATGATCAGGATCTTTATTGGGATTCTGAAAATTTCGCGAATGAGCTGATGCTTTGAAAAAAGTGTGTGGACACAGCTTTTCTGGATTCAGTTTGACAGGCCCAAATTATGCTTTGTGAGACTGTAAAAACAACACTGCATTGAAGGGATCAATTGGAACAAGATACCCGACTATGGTGTAAAGTTTATCAGGCGCTGTCAACACATCAGCATTTGTGCGCATCGTGCGCCTCATTCAGGCAGCCGAATCGTGCTTATGAGGGATTAGTGTCGGCTTTTCCACAGAAAGTCAAAAACCTCTCGTGTAAAAAGTTGATGAAAAATATATTTCTGAAAAAAACCTGAAAAAGTAATGGCTGGGGTTTGTACCTCGCGCCCAAGTGGTCGCGGTCTGTTTGAAGCACCTTGCCACTCCTCACATGGCATACAAGTAGAAAATACTTCATCTTATCTGCATTATTTCTGAAAGCTGGCCCTCCATCTTGCAGCATTTTTTAAGGTTGCTTTAGTGAACGAGCACCTACACTGACGCAAATTACTCACAAAAAAAGTGTTAAAATTTTCTTTTTTCGTATCATTTGGTGCCCACAGGAACACACATGTGCAGCATTTCTAGATATATATTCATAAAAGCAGCAAGAGTCATTCAGTTGTTCATGCTTAACAAATACATTGGCCATTTTCTTCATCCAAAGGCTGCAAGCATTTATTTGCTATACTACAAAAGGTAAGAGAAACAAACTTTACATTTCATTTTGACCGTTTGAGGAAATGCAGTATGTCGCCAGTACTGTCATAAGAAGTCCTCCATTAAACATGTCTGGTAGAACACAGTCACAAAGAAAAGTACAAATCTGAGTGAAAAGAAGGAAGAACAAACCTTATCTCATTTGGAGTCTCCTCTTCCTCGTACTTCTTTTTCTCTTTTGTTCGGAAGACAAGCCAAATAATTAATATGACGATGAGCACACCCAGGGAAATTCCCACGACCGCGCCAGCTACCTTGCCCATATCCCTCACATCTGTGAAAACATAACAGATTCCATCAGATACATTTGCTACAGCTGCACATCTACCGCAATTTTTTGAGAATAACACACATCATTTTTGGGAGGGGAAAAAAAATCCAAAATCAAGGGGGCAGGAGGGTAGGGGGGTATTATACATAGGTTTAAAGGGGAAAAAAAATTGTGCTGATATTTATTGGTACCTCGGGGTTGTGAAAAAGGTGCACTTTGATTCCAATGTAATATCTAATGTCTACATAAAGCCGCCACTGAACGAAAAACCGGGGCAGTACTTGTCCCACATGTGTTTTCGGAGTGCGAGATCTTGTTTATATACTCTGTACCTCTGTAATTTTGATGAGTATGTTCAGTAAACTGTACTGTAATATGCCACAAGGCTGAGATTGGCTCCACAAAAACAGGTTTGGCTCCTCACCAAAAATCATGAGTGTTGCAAGAGGATTTATCCCAAAATGGGTGGGGGTGACATTAAAAGGCAATTTTCGAGGTGCATATAATATTCGAGTGTATGTTAAAATACTTCTCCGTTTTATTAGGCACTGTAAGAGAGGCACAAATTTTTTCAATGTATTTAATAATATGGTTGTTTTTTTTCAGTGGTGTAGAAGGTCACAGCATCATGCTAACTAAAAATTTAGGATATTTTGGTTGAATGAGGCAAGCAAACAATTTGAAATAATCAAACTAAACTGTCATCGGTACAATATCCAATATATTGACAACAAATCGGCCATTTTACTTTGTTGTGCACGTTTCAATTTACCACAACGGTAATCAAGCAGTTTGTGCAGAGCTACAAGACGTATCAATTTGCTTACACGTGACCCCAACCGCCCAGCCTCTCTCGAAATATATTAGTGTGCCAGTGAAACACGAGTGTTGGAGCACAGGTGGCGACCAGTAACCATCAGCACATTCCGTGCACTCCCTTGCATTGGTAGACCGGGGAAGTGTCATGGGGTGTGGAAGCAGAGAGAGGGAAATAAATGTATTTCCATCTGCAGTTTGAAACAATTGCCATCAGTCAGTCTGACAGGTGGAGGTGAGGTGAATGCCGTAATGATTTGCCAGTTGAACCCCCTCCCACCTTCCAAACACTCACGCTGCATTGTGACCTCAATGGTGCAGTTTTCCTCGCCCACATCATTGCTGGCTGTGCACCTGTAGACACCTGTACTGTCCATGGTGAGGTTCCTCAGGGTCACAAGTTCAGGGTTCTTCAGATCTGGACAGCAGAGAATGGTACATTGTGACAATCGAAATGCCCTGAGCTCAGCGCTGCATCTTAATTATTACACAGCTACACTACTCGAACATATATAAATGTGGCAAAAATTAAAAAAAAAAAAAGACCACTGGATAAATGGAGGTAGTGAAAAGTGCTGTTATGAAACCGAATCCTGATAGAAGATCTCTGGAGGCATCTTTCGTGGAGCTAAACTGTCATTCTTTCCCTTACCTATCAGTGCCAAGTTTGGCAGTTTGCCCAGACTTTTGCCTTTGTCCAGCACTCGCTCCCACTTGTAGTTGATAGGGTCAGAACCGTCGCTGGACTTGCAGCTCAGTTTGACGTCACTACCTTCCAGGAGGTCGCCATCCATCCAACATCTGGGCTTTGAGGGTTTCACTGTAAACATTGCAAATGACCGGTTTATGTCAGTGGTAAGACAAACACTATTCAGATGTAACACGACGGCGTTAACACAAATATTTGCTGTTGGTCTGAATATGTCATCACAACCTCGAATTCAATCTATCCATTTCCTAATGGCCGTAGCTTCATCCAGGTCACTGGTGAGTTGGATTTAATGTGTATGTGGAAGAAAGCCGGAGCACCCGAAGAAAACCCGTCCAAGCACAGGGAGCATGTGCAGCTTCCACACAAGAATACTCGAGCCGAGGTCTGCAATATTAAGCTGGTAATATTAATAATTAACAGAATGTCTTATTGGATCAATCAAGTATCTCTGTACATTAATTTAATTAAAATATCATTTAAAAAAAGTATAGCCAGCATACTTTTTAAGTCAAATGTAAATCCTGCTTCATTGCAAATGATAAAAACTAAAATAATTGAAGAAAACCCTGAAAACTGACTGTTCTTTATTGTGCAAACAAAATTATGATTTTTTTTCATAACTCAAAACCAACACTTTACGGTCGACACGTCTTGTACTGTTAGAAACCTGCAAAATGTGAACATGTTCCAAATAAAACTCCGACTTATTGTTCAACGACAGAGATTTAATTGCTTAAACTCTATTTATTTCCCCCACTCACACAAAACCCATAGATACATAAATACAATGGCTGAAAACAAAGTTGATTAAATATGTGGCAAACGGTTTGATTCTGTCAAGATAAAATCCATAGATGAGGAATAGATGGGCTCCGTTTGAGACCACAGAGAGTTGAAACAGAGTCTATGGAGTCTCGTTCACTGCGACTGCGAAGATGGCTGTGAATGTCATTATTTTCTTTTTTTTCCCTTCCTGCCACAGCTCAAAGGTTTCAGTTCAGCAGCTCGACAAAAAAAAACAAAAAAAACAAACACACAGAAGAGGAGTTCTGGATGCTGCTGAAATGCACACTGCCTCTCTGTCTTTAAACACACCGGACGGCTTTGCTGAGCAATGAAAAAAACCCGAAAATAGCCTGGCTTCCATCCCAGCAGCGTATTTTTAGATCAGTGGCAAGCTATTTTTAAACGGCCCTTTTCTATTTTGTCGTCGTCGCAGTGTCGGCTTTTGTGCATTTGGTTGGGGCTGGCAGTCTGCAGAGCTGCGGTGTGTTGATGAAGCTACACTGTTGTGCGGTAGCTTGAGCATGGAATCATCTTATCTGTATCTAATAGATTATTTTTTTTTCTTACATGAGACTGAAAACATTTTAAAGTGAAAGTGTGTACTCTCTGTAATCTTTTCCAAATCACTAACTATATGATGAATGTATTCAAAGAACAATCAATTTCCATAATAATTGAAGCCAATCCCATCTGATTTGGGGTGAAACATGGATTGAGGAGTAATGGAATATATGTATTCTATCTCATGTAGTATGTAATCTAATTGCAAAAAAATTTGCAACTGTAATTGAGCAATGAAAAAAACCCGAAAATAGCCTGGCTTCCATCCCAGCAGCGTATTTTTAGATCAGTGGCAAGCTATTTTTAAACGGCCCTTTTCTATTTTGTCGTCGTCGCAGTGTCGGCTTTTGTGCATTTGGTTGGGGCTGGCAGTCTGCAGAGCTGCGGTGTGTTGATGAAGCTACACTGTTGTGCGGTAGCTTGAGCATGGAATCATCTTATCTGTATCTAATAGACGATTTTTTTTTCTTACATGAGACTGAAAACAACATTTTAAAGTGAAAGTGTGTACTCTCTGTAATCTTTTCCAAATCACTATGTGATGAATGTATTCAAAGAACAATCAATTTCCAAAATAATTGAAGCCAATCCCATCTGATTTGGGGTGAAACATGGATTGAGGAGTAATGGAATATATGTATTCTATCTCATGTAGTATGTAATCTAATTGCAAAAAAATTTGCAACTGTAATTGATCATATTATTGGGAGGGAATAAGTAATTCAATTACAGCTTTTGGAAATATTTATGATGACGATTGTCGTTATATTGCCACAAAAATGCACCCAGATATAAGCCTACATTTACCATATCTTCTGGTCTATAAGCCAATATTTGTTTTCCAACGCATTGAACCCTGCGGCTTGAAATGTGACAAGGTTTATGTATGAATTTAACTAATTTTTACAACAGCCATCTATGTACAAATGTGTTTTTATGGCAAAATTTAGCTGCTGTGGCTTTTAATCAGGTGCGTTTTGCAGTCCGGAAATTACGGTCCATCCTCAATCATGTTTGCTTTTGCAAACTGGCTCATAAAAGCATACATTCACAATTCACAGGAGGCTAGTGCATAAACAACCTGCCTGGCAGCAAGCTATTATATTGAAGAGAGAAATGCAAATGTCTGTTTCTCTCAAAATCGAAAGCGTCACCACGAAAGCTGAGGGCAATTTGTAAAAATGGAGGCACTAACTCACTGAAATGTTTTTATGGAAGAGAGATGAGAGGGAGAGGATTAACAGGCTGTTCTATTAGAAAACCAATAACCGCGGGCCGAACTAATATCCCATGATGTTTTCATAAATCGCCTGCTTTTCCGTCACTGAGATGATCTCAGTCTTCCCGCCGGACTTTGCGCCTGGCTTGAATGGTCGGGCCGCTACCCCCCCTTTTGCCATTCGTCCTTCAGAATTGTTTAGCTATGAGCAGGCAACGATGAACATTTCCACTGAGCTCGCTCGAAAGCTTGTTGCATAAACCAGGAAAACAAAAAGAATGAAAAGTAGAGGGATGAAATGGACAATGATGAATTCACTGAGGATTGAGAGGCCAAAACAAGCTCCCCCAGACATAATTTGTGTAAATAACTTTCCTAAGAAGCTTATACGGGGGTTTAAGGGGAGACAGTTGTAATTATAGACTTTCACCTCAAAAGGACACACATGCATTTCGTTACATTTGTCGAGAATCAAACTCATAAATCAGTTGCATGTTTCTGGTCTCACCTCATCAACAAATTAAAAGAAGATTCCAATCAGTCAGTCTGAATCAAATTGAATCATGGGATCAGTCAGCACGGCAGAGGAAATGTGTTGGGTTAATGAGCCGTTCATGAGGTCTGCGTGTGGACATGCAGCAACGTGAGCATCAATAACTTTGTGCACGCGTGTGTGTTTGGGTTCGGACCCTTACCCAGCACAATGAGGTTGACTTGGCTCCAATGGTACTTCCCCCCGGTCTTGACCTTGCAGTAGTATTCCCCGGAGTCAGTCAGCAACAGGTCACTGATCAGCAGGGAGGCGTCACCCCCCAGGTACTCCCCAGCAAAGGACAGGCGGCTGCCATCAGTGCTCGTCGCCTCGTTGGTGTACACGTGGCCACCGAAGAACGTAATGATCTGGAAAAATTGAAGAGCAACGCATCAGAGACTGTCATTAATGTTGGTGAGTGAACTGTGTTCAAATCTTCGCAAGCAAATTTAGCTAAGTGGTCCCCAACCATTGGGCCAACGACCATCGAGATGGAATTTGCTCGTTTTAATTGATGCCTTTTGGGTCCACGGGAGTTTTCATGGGCTTGTATTTGGCTCACGTCTCTGTCAGTGTTTCGACGCCGGATAAATTTAGCCCCAAAAAGTTACTCGGGGAAATTCAAATTCACGAGGCACGAGATTGCATATTCACTCTAACGGATTGCGCTCACTGTAGCTGGGCATCATGTGCCTGATTTACTCAAAATGAGACCTTTTACTAAGATTGCGAACAGCCGCCGCTACATAGCGGAAGCATTAGTTGAAGAGTTGATCGCTCCTAAAATATCAGGGAAGCCATGCTTTGTTTTAATGAACTGGAATGTACGGGTACCATATGTGACCATCCTGTGTAACAGTGCGTTTAAAACTTGGGAGTGGCGCCAGCACTACTTGGCACAATGCACTGAAATGACTAACGCAGGTACATGAAATGCAGAGTTGAAAGGAGTGACGCCAGTGGATATGATGGGTAGATATCAGAAAAAGATGGCTATAGGTTATATGTTATGACTCCTGACTGCGACGGGCTCCAAATCAGCCCCAACAACATTCGGATGCTCCAAAGTTGAACACCTGATGTGGCAGTAATTTTTATTTGGAACTTCAAAAATATTTCAATGAATAGAAAAATTCTCCTCGCTGCCTATCATTTTACCAAAGCCTACAATCGCAACACTTTGGAAACTGGTTTGAAGCTATCTGCCAGTGGAATTTATCTCAGGTTTGGTGAATCGTATTTGCTTTTGCCAGATTGATCTTTTTGTCGACACTCCTCCCACAGCATGCAAAATTTAATGCTCGGCAATTTAGCACGTCCGATCTGCCATTTACGGGTACCATGTCGTACCCGCTTTTCCTGTGGAAAAGCGAGTCTCCTCCCATTGGATAATGATTCTAACCCAGAGGCTACTTCCACTCTTTCAAACAGCCGATAGCTACATCAAATATGTCAAGGATCTTTCCCGTAATAAGATACGATAAGTATTTAACCCTTTCATGCACCCTGTAACCTGATCACATGATAAGCTGTCCACTGTAGTAACCACTGTCCCTGAAAGGGTTCATGTTGTATTACACTGATGACAATGTATGACATATTCACATTGCGTCTGTATGGATTCAAACTTATGGCTGGCTGATTATCTTCAAGTTCCCTTATTTAATGTGATTTATCTTTTCACGGTGCAGCCAAAATGACTAAATAATAAAAAGTGTCCAGGCAATGAGATGAAAAATCATCAGACAAGTGGGACCCACAGTGGCAATGATGGGATTTTAACAGCCTGGAAAAAAAAATAAAAAAAATACCTGACTCAGTAAATTCCCAAAGAACGCTGGTACTGTAAATATTTTTTGAAACTAAATGGGAAATAAAAGTTACATCCCGATGGAACACACTTCCTTCTGTTTTGTTTTCCTTGTCAGTTCCATTTGGGCGAACAATTTCGATGTTTTTAATGAACACAAACAGAATAGTGGTTTGGTATTGGTGAACTTTTATAACAAAAGATGAATAGATACTCATTATACGTGAATAGAAATTAATTCAAAACAAACAAAAAAAAATGTGTGATTAGAAGAGTGAAAATAACATTTGGGTGCTACGAATTTGTATCCGATTGTGGACTTCAAGCCTTTGCCTGTGCAACGTAGTATTTTCGGTACAAAATGTTCATATGACTAAAAGTGCTTCTATGCCTTCTGAATTGAACTGTTGTGAACAGTTGTCATGAAAAGCGATTTGATGATTTCCTTCTCCCGAGGTCAATCTCCATCTCAATCCACAGTGCATCCCTACGAGTCTCTCGTTCTGGTCGCATTCATGCCCACAAACACAGCTGTCACGGTGGCCTATTACTCAGGGTGAGGGAGAGCCTGCAGATGGGGCCCACTAAGTGCCGGTGCCACAACGCATCACTGACGACCAAACAGGCGCCACCTGCCGTAACCACAGGCGGTGACGGGCCGCTTGATTATATCCACCAAATGCACAGAAAAAAAAAATAGACTAAAAATCAAACCCGGAATGCAAATTGATGGATTGTACATTACAGCGCCGCTGTTCCGCAGAAACAAAATGGACTATAAAGGCAACTACCAATAAGCATGTCTCTTGTTTATTGTTTGGCTCCTGCACATTAACTGCTCACAGGCATCTGAAACTAATTTACTGTTCTTATGCACCGATGTAAAGAAACATACTAGAGAGCGAGAGCATCAAAGTGCTGCTCACGGGAATTTTCGCAAAATGGCTACAGGCTGTTGTTTTTAAAGCTGCAATGACAAAATGCTGACATGGAGCTTTTAAGTCCACTGCAGATTTTGGGGAGGACATATTTACTAGGATTTTTTTTTTTTTTTTTTAAATAAAGAAACTCAGTATTTCAGCATGAAATATCAGATCATATAGCATTTCAAACGTGGTTTGATCTTGTGCAAAAAAAAAAAAAATCTTCAAGCTCAGCTTATTCATTATCAAAGAGATGAATATCTTCCATCCTCAACACCGCTTATCCTGAAAAGGGTTGCGGGTAGTTGCTGGAGCCTATCCCAGCTGAAATCAGGCGGAAGGTGGACGACACCCAGAACTTGTCGCCACTCAGTCGCAGGGCACATATCGAGGAAAACAACCGTTCACACCCACATGCACAGCATCACTGAGTGGGAACCGATCCCGTGAGTCCGGCGAGTGTACCACTACACCATCAGCAATTAGGTGATGCATCGTCACTCTAAATTAGTATCATTACAAACATAAATTACAAACAAAATTACAATAATAGTAAGCAGCAAAGTCAGAATATTACAATAAATAGTAATAATGTTACAAGAAGTCGCCAAGTAAAAAACCTGAACTTACAGAAGTGCATAACATGATATATATATATACGTTTAATATCATTTATTTAGGAATAGTTGTGTTTAATATTTGAATACCATAATGACCACTAGATCTACATTTTGTGACTGATAGACATTTTTAGAATTTAAATGATCTCTTTGGCGCCTTTGTAGGTGGAATGACTGATTTTGAAATTGTGCGTACATAATGTTGTGATAGGCGAGTGTATTTCAGTGATTGAGCGCATGACCTTGAACCTGTTGTCTGGTCCCTTAGTGATCGGAACAAACGTAACCCGCACAATCGCTAAGAGGGGCTAAATGTTGCAGGATGCACTTTCTCTCGCTGACAGTACAAAAGAATGATTTATTCATTCGGCTACAGGCGCAGTCTCTTCAACCTAATCAAATTTTCAGATGTTTGATTTTAATTAATGGCGCCTTCGATGTTATCTTCCCGTTAAATATTCATCGTAGTGTGGCAGCCCCCCCGCCTTGAATCATTAAAGCTTCAGACAGACGCTTACATTTGACGACTCCGTCCCCTCCTTCCTGTCCTCTCCCTGCTCTTTTCTTTTTCGCTGCGTTGCGCTTCCGCATGCTCGCGCATCAGGACACCAACAAACGACTTCCAAATGGAGTATATAAGAATATACCTCAATTCCTCCACCAGATAGCCGAAGAGATTTTACACAGGGATGTTCGGCTCATTTTGGATGGATAACATTTCTAAACCGGGTGGCCCGGTGGTCCAGTGGGTAGCTTGTCGACCTCACAGTGCAGAGGTCGTGGGTTCAATCCAAGCTCCGGCCTTCCTGTGTGGAGTTTGCATGTTCTCCCCGGGCCAGCGTGGGTTTTCTCCGGGTACTCCGTTTTCCTCCCACATTCCAAAAACATGCATGGCAGGCTGACTGAGCACTCCAAATTGTCCCAAAATGTGAGTGTGAGCACGGAAAGTTGTTCATCTCTGCGTGCCCTGCGATTGGCTGGCAACCGTTTCAGGGTGCCCCTCGCCTACTGCCCGAAGACGGCTGGGATGGCTCCAGCAGCCCCCGCGACCCTTGTGAGGATAAAGCGGATTGGAAAATGGATGGAACATTTCTAAACCCACGACTGCTCAAGTTCTTCAAGATAAAACAAACCACTGTGTCATTGTTCAATTATTATCATTATTTTTTGATTAAATGATTTATTCCTTGAGGTAATAGTTCTGCCTTACCACAAAGATGATGTAAATGCCACCATCAATGCCTGAAGTAAAATTAGATAAACGTTTTATTTTTGTTTTAAATGTCATCAACGTATCAAGATTTGCGCATGTGCTGGAAGAATAAATGCGGAATAAATAAGGTTGATGAAATTACTGCCTCGAGACAATGTCTGGGTCTCAGCACATCCATTATGATTTCATTATGATATCTTTGTACATTCTGACAAAGGTCAACATGTCACTTGCCTGAGAATTCACTCACACGAACACTGAAGCTCATGTTGATGTTTGGCCTGCAGCATGAACAAAACCGCTTTGAAATCCCACTAGAAATGAAATCAAGCTTCTTTTGAAGCCATTCCGAGTCAAGCCTTGTCACTTAATGTCGTATTTTTGGTCTCAATCTGTGCCAAAGTGTTCATAAATATACATTCAACAAATAGAAACAATAATTGAATGAAATATTTCCATTTTTGTTAGACAGAATTACATCGATATACTTCTTATATTTGTTTCATTTCATGATGCTGCAGTTTGTTGGAAAGCATTCAAAGTGCCATGACAAGAGGAATGAATCGGTCAGTCACTCATCAAAGAGGTGGTGGGTGGGATTGAGGATCTGATTAACTGAACTTGGACTGCTCATCGATATAAGACAAAAAGTCCAGAGAGTTCTGAGACCACTGGTTGAGAATTGTTTCATTTTCGAGTGACGACAAGGAGTATAAATGTATAGGACTGACCTTTGGCAACAGGTATCATGACATAAATGTGGTTATTATTAAGCCTGGGATTCTTCTCTAAAATCCAAATATTCTCTCATTAAAACGTCTATGATTGCGATAAGTTGTGAAGAGGAAAGGATAACGAAGATGTCGTCTCACCACTTTCTGTTTGGAGTTTGGTTTCTGCAGGAGCCACTCAATGTCAATCGAGCCAGATGATTGGAACTGGTGGTGGCAAGGTAAAGTGGCGTTGTCCCCGACTACCTTCTTCATCTCGGTCTGAGCACCTCCTGACAGTGGACTGAGGAGAACTGGAGGCAGAGAGAGAAGGCAAATGTCAGCTAGCCCCAACTAAACTTGAAGACACGAGACAGAGCTTGCAAATTGCTTCGAGAAGCCGACATTCAGAGGAAACTGTGACAGAAGAGACGGAGAGAGTTGAAACGTCGGATCTCAATTACTGTCAAGAAAAAGCTGAAATGTGGAAAAAGCTGAAAAAAAAATGGAGTTGTTTTCACACAGCCTTTTCGGCATTCTTGTGTAAGCGCGAAAGACAAGCAAGACATAATTTGATTTATATTTCTCATTAACTTCAACATACGTTTGTCAAACTCCAAAGGCATGCTCCCAAAGTACAAAAACAAGCCAGTGAATGGAAGGCACTACAGTGTTTTATGCCCCCGAGGTACAATTCCAAATCCGAGCATAATTTGCAGGGAAAAGTTAAATAAAAACCCCTGACAAAACCCTCCCCTTCACTCACGTTTTATTCTAACTGTGAACATCTGTACAATGACGGCAACGTTGAGAGAAAATGCGGCCTTTCTGGGTGAGGACTGGGATTACTGGCAGGTTGGAATATATTCCTTGAAGCTTCCTTGAAATGCTCCACCCATCCATTTTCTAATCCGCTTATCCTCACGAGGACCGCGGGTGTACTGGAGCCTATCCCAGCTGACTTCGGGCAGTAGGCGGGGCACACCCTGAACTGGTTGCCAGCCAATCACGGGACACACATAGATAAACAGAGGTCCTGGGTTCGATTCCCGGCCCCATCCTTCCTGTGTGGAGTTTGCATGTCCCTTGCCTGCGTGGGTTTTCTCTGGGTACTCCGGTTTCCTCCCTCCTTACAAAAAACATGCATGGTAGGTAAATTGATCACTCGAATGGGTGTTTATCTGCATGTGTCCTAGGAATGTGTGTGTTCCCCGCCTGTTGCCCAAAGCATTCCAACCAGACTTTACATTTTGACAGATTTTAATTTTGGGGAAATCCTGTCACGTTGCTACTTTTGAAACCAAGTCTTAGATAAATTAACATTATTTTCTCACATAGTGTAAACAAAACAAACCCCAGGCTACTTCTGTGAAGTACTCATGTAGCAGTAAAAAAAAACAAAAACATATGCAGCTATAAATATGTGTGTTTTTAATGAGTGACTCTAAGCACTGGCCAGACAGACACGTCGCAAGTCCCTGTGGGGGAGCAGGAGTTGTAATTCACAAGAGAAAGCTGTGCCGCATGCTGGCCTTCAGCAGAACTAGCCGGAGGCGTCACGGTGGTATGTTGAAAATTGTGTTTGTGCATCCAGAGGGCGTGTCCCACTGTTGTGAGATCGTGGACTCTCAACACCTGTTCCAAAATAATGCAGAGTTCCAGCGGGCCTCCGCAATAAAATGCGACAAGATATTTTGGGCTCTTCAACATTTAACTTAACTACCTAGGTTTAATTTAATTGCAGTGTGAGTCAACAGTTTGTGGGGCTTGTCAGCACTTAAAATAAAGTTATCAACCGTCGCAGATGATCATTTGGTCTCAGGCTGTGTATGTTGTGTGAAGCGGCTGGCTCCCTTTTTCATTAATATGGTGTTGACTTTGAAAGATTAACCGAGGCGGAGAAACATAAGCTTGAAACGTTGTATGTCTAGCTAATTTTGCTCTGTGGCTTCAAGCAAGCTTTTTCACCACGGTACGATTTGATCGCTAAATTGTGATCAAGCATCTTTGGCTGTTGATAGCGGCATAAAAGCTCCGTCAGCCTCATAGTTTAGCATGCCAGTGTCGAATGAACGGGTCAACAATTTCAACAAAGGTGATTTCACGCTCTACTGTCGCTGCTGTTGCGATTCTTATTCCACCTCCTTAGCCCTTAGCGGAAACCATGCTTGTTGAAAATGTGCTTGGTGTAAAACTGTCAAACGTGGAGAGAGCCATGTGGTCTGAGAATGCATCTACACCCAGTGGGCACCTGTCCACTCGTTTCCTGGTCCATCCTTACTCGAGCAGTCCCATAAGTGAGCTGTGGGCCAATGAAAATGTCAGCTCAGTGCTGCGAAGCCAAAGTGTCAACACTGACGCAGGGCACAACGGAAAAGAGCGGCCGTCCACAACCGCTTCTTCAAGCATGCACATGCCATCATTTGCTTGCTTTCAGCAGTTCTTTGGGTTTTGTTGCATCCCTGTCTTTTTTTTTCTCAGTACAGTCACTGTCAATCCAATCAAAGGGAGAAAAGAATACTTGACAGCAGAGACTTTTTTTTTGTCTCTCTTGACAGGAACCGTTTCTGATGTCCTGCTGTTATTGGACCTTTAAATCACCAGTCAGCAGAAAAAAAAACGATGGGACATTCATTCCCAGTGTGGATGTCTCTGACTTTTTGATGCCGTGTCATTTCTCCTCAGGGTAACGGGTTCCTATATTTCTAAAAACAGGTTTATGTGCGTGCGGTGGATTGATTGAACATCACAGTCGAAATTAATGGTTGATGGTGGGGGTCTTGATGCTATGTCGACTGTCTTCCCTTGACTCCTGAGTCTGTAATCAGCCGAGCATGTCGGAGACTCAGTGCGGAATCCCGCGGTGTGCCAATGGCCTGATAAGAGCTCCTCAACGGCTGCGACTGTAGGCTCTCTAAATCCAGAAGTCTCCCGATAGATATGGCACAGTTGACCGGATAAATTGGGGGTACGCTAATCTTCGTCCATTAAAACAGTTTCCACGAACCAACTGTTCAAATGACCCTCAGACAAAGACTGTCAAGGTCAGCTCCTTCATGGTCATGGAAACATTACATTGGCCATACCATGAAATGGGGCTGAAAAATCCAATCAATCTAATGACACATTTGTATCAAAAAGTATGCTTTTCTGGTGTAGTAATTATTCGCTCCAAACTGACCCCACAAAACAAATTAGCTACAAATACTTTACTGTAGATGACCACAATGTATGCCACTAATCATCTTCCAAATGCTTGATGCTTCATACGTATTGTTCTGAATTGATCCTTAATGAGCCCAATATAAATTTTCATCAATTTGAACACCTTTAGCCATCCATCCATCCACCCTTCCATCCATCCATTTTTTGACCTGCTTATCCTCACAAGGGTCACAGGGCGTGCTGGAGCCTCTCGCAGCTGTCCACGGGCAGTAGGCAGGGGATACCCTGAACTGGTTGCCACCCACTCGCAGGTCACACATAGACATACAACCATTCGTGCTCAAACTCACAACTCGGGATAATTTAGTTCCATTAACCCGCCATGCATGTTTTTGGAATGTGTGAGGAAACCGGAGTACCCGGAGCCGGAATCGAACCCTCCACCTCTGTACAGTGAGGCTGACGCGCTAATCAGTCGCCCACCGGGCCGTCTAACACCTTTATTGAAAAGTGAATTTTGTTTTTAAGATTCACTAGTCGATAACAAAAGTAGCGTAATTGTATTGTGCAATGTTAAAAACAACCATTACCCAGATCCATACATTCCGTCGAAATTGTCTATGGAAAACTGGTCAGTCTCCTTGATAGAAGGCAATGCATAAGTGTCGGACAGGAAATGTAGCAGCACATTTTTTATTTTTTTTTAAAGACAAGATTTTTGATACTTCACTTGTATTGGCTGTCATTGAATTGCGGAGGTGTACGTTATAAAATTTCCACTGAGAAATCACACACTATTTGCCAGAGAGAGAGTTGGCAGACAAGTGAGAAGTGAGGGGGTTTGGTTGGTATATAATCACCTCTCCCCACTTTGGCAGTTATTTATGGTGGAGATGGAGGCTTTTGTACTGTGGATTGAGTGACTCCACACTGCCAAAATAAGCTCGCTCCGATGCGGGCTTGCGTTCACTTTGGCCTCTTTCAAAGTGTACACAGCTGGGACAGTTAGACCGCTGGACCCCATCATTTGCGTCAACAACACTTGATGCTGAATTTCCCAAATGCACACTATATCAAACTGTGACAGCTTTCGAAAACAGCAGTCTCCAGTAAACCTAATAACACGAGCAACCAGAAAAAACACTCAGGAGAGTTTAGGTCTCCAGGGTGGAAAAATTGTGGTATACATATAAATGTTTAAAGCAAATATATATTTTTTTATATATTACATGTGACAGAAATGTAATTGTGTTCATTGAAGGTGGGGTGGGGGGTTGGGAATGCCACGAGGGCAATTAAATAAACATTGTTCACTTTTGCACAATTAGCACATGCACTCACTCATTTATGGCTTGGACAGCAACACTTTTTCGTAGCATTTGAAATTATGATGTGCCCCATGTACAGTTGACACAGCCTTGTACCAGGCGCAAATAGTCATAATGTACCACCTCATCAGTGAAGCATGGTGGTGGTAGTGCCACGGTGTCGGCGTGTATGGTTGCCAATGGAACTGGTTGCCATGTATTTATTGATGATCTGACTGCTGAGAAAAGCAGCAGGATGAATTCTGAAGGGTTTTGAGCAATATTATGTGCTCGTATTCAGCCAAATGCTTCTGAATTCATTGGACGGTACTTCATAGTGCAGATGGACAATAATCCAAAGCATACTGTGGAAGCAACCATTTTTTTTTTTTTTTTTTTTAAGGCAAACAAGTGGAATGCCACATGAACGATACGAGTGTATGGTGATGTTTATACGTTTCACACTTCGGGTTGTAATTAACTGCAAAGGATTTGCAACCAAGTGGTAAGAAGTCGAACTTTGATTTTTCACCCCAGTTTTAAGGTATGGCCAATGTGTGTCATAACCTCCATGGCAGAGTCTCCATCGAACCTCTGAGACTGATTCACCGAACCCCTGGGGTTCGATAGAACCCAGGTTAAGAACCACTGGTCTAATGGGTTGGTTTGTCACCTATCCACAGCATTTTATTAAAATCAGTGATGGAGTTTGCGCACAGTCTCGCTAATTTTATCAACTGACCGTTAAACTACCCTCTATACAAACCAACGAGGGAAAAAGTATCAAAACCTGAGCAAAAAAAATCTTAAAGCAAATACTATCATCATGTTTGTAAATTCAC